AAGTCCTTCTACAAATCAATTTGGAATTAAATAGAAATAGCATGGCCCGGATTGGATTATTTAAATTATGGTAAAGACATATAAGGCCGAGGCACCTTGCAGCTCTTTCACCATTGTTAGATCATTCTCCCCTCCTTTCCTAAACTAGAAAAATGGGGCATTTTCTTTTCCTACTAGAAGAATGCACTGTCATAGCAACTCTTTCTGTCTCATGCTGGAAATGCATCCCCCCTGAGCACAGAGTGTCGCCTTCCATGTAGTGAATGAGATAGAGTGGAAAGACACTCGCGAAGGAGCAAAATGGCCTCAGATTATTTTAGTTTTGGCTGTAATTCAAGTTAGTGACAGTCTATATGAAATATATTGACTGTAATTGTGCATTCAAGCATCAGTTATGCATATGTGTGTGTCACATGCCATTCTATCATGTATCCTCTACTTATCTTCCCCATTCTATTGTAGATAATCATCAATATGTGTCTACAAGCTAAGTTCTTCTCTAATAAGTGCAAAAGACACCGAAAGTTATAGATACATTTATTTAGATTATTTTCTAACATGTTTTACAAATTAAACAACAAAAGTATAGAAATTGCTGGCAAATACCAAAACTTGAATAAAAGTAGTTTTTTTAATATTTATAAACAAAAACTAAATACAGTTCGGACACCCATAATCCGGACCTCAAAGCTACAAACTTTCTGTGCATGTGTCTCGTTGACGCATGCGCGCAAGACCTTTACGGCTGCGAATATGCGTGTGTGCATGCACATAATACGTTTATGCATGCCCGTTTAATGTATAACGGACGGTATAAGCTAAGCTAAAATTATCTAATTCAGTTAATGTTGCAGATTGCGTTGTTCCTTAATCTTCGAATTGGATTCGGCTTATTATTTTTTGCAGACTGTTAGAGCAATTTTATAAAAGTAAGCTTGAACTTTCGATTATGTCGAATAGAATTTCCGATATACATTTACTAATATGTAAAGGATCTACAAAGCAAAAGTATGTTTCGAAGTTCATTAAACAAAAAGTGGAATTGCTGCAATAAAATGGATAAAGGCATATCCTTTGTTTTTCTAACCATTCCGAAATCTGTTTATCAATTTCCCACTGCTCTGCGGGGGGAGACATCGCGGCGCACAATGAACTGGAAGTTGATCTGTCAGCACTATCCTTATCTTCAGGGCAGATGGTTTTTATTTTATTTGGCTTATAATTCCTTGCTAAATGCAGTATTTCATCTCGATGTACTTCGTCTTTGATATGATTTAAATCAAATTCCTCGTCATTATTATTCGCTTCCGATAGTGAAGAAAGTGACACAGAGGTTATTGAAAACGAAAAAATTTCGATTGACATATATTAGTCGGTATTTTTGATGAGCAATTATAGGACTGCAACAGCGGAACTTTGTAACTGAAGAAGAAATTACGTCTGTTTATAGAATTAAAGAGAAAGTATTATCACATAAAACGAAGCAACTTAAACAACTTGCATTGAAAGAAATGTTTAATAAAGTAAACAAATAAATATTAAGCTTTTTTTTTGTAAATTTTGATACCCTTTAGATCTTAATTGTTCTTTATTTCATAAATTACGGTTTCATATTTTTAATTTTATACTTTCTGCATGCCATCTTACCAGATTTAAACTGATGATCTATAATCCGGAAAATCGATAATCCGGAATCGCCGAAGTCCCGACGAGTCCGGATTAACGACTTTTGACTGTACTTAGTAGTTATGTAAGAGGCTGAACACATTCTTTTCTGGCTGAGAACCCCTGATATAAGAGCTGTCTGCTTAAAGGAAATGATGTTTTCATGGAGGATTTTTTAAGAGGCTTCTTGATTTAAAGGAAACTGGCTCTTTTTTTGTTACATATAGGGAAACGCAAATCGTTTAAAAAATTTAACAGTTTAATCCATAAATTTTGCTTGAGATAAAAATACTTCTTGCTTATAAACAATTTATCTCATGGTAATTCTAATATAAAGATTCTAACTTTTATAAAACATTTTTTAATATTACAGTATGCATCAATAAATAAAACAAGATTTGATACGCAATTTTCCAAAACTTAAAGGAACAAACTCACATTAAGACAAATAATAATATATCACACATGCCAACAATTGTATACACCTAGAAAACATAGATCTCATTCTTACCACTGAATTATATTTCATACATAATGAAAATGACAAAATAAAAATAGAAGTAAGAAACTGCCTAAGACAAGTATAATATTTTGTAACTGATAACAATTTGTTTCTTACAAAATATAAAGATAAAATATTTTCAGATTCTTTCCAGACAATTCTGCCTGAATTTTAGGCCCATTTATAAAAATAAACAATTTAATTTAAAAATATTTAAGAATATGAAGAAAATATATGTAAGATAACAAGCACATAAATCAAAATTCTAGTAATTCCTTGCTCTCTTTGAATTTGGTCATTTTCTCTTTGTGTCTTAAAATATAATAACTGCTTATAATACATCTCTCTTAGCCGTGTTATTTCAAAATTAAGGAATCTGATAACATTCTTTCATGATGTCAGCAATGCAGATACTTACATAACAATTCAGCCAATAATAATTTCAAATCTGTGAATCAATACTTATAATTAATCAATCAAAATACAACTTAAAAAACACTAAATCATTCTCAATAGACTTTCAATTTTGAACATGTCATATTCTTTCCTTTGCTTTGCCCTCTAAACTTACTATCTGCTGCTATATTTCCTTTCTTCAGCTATTAAAAATATAAAAATTCAATAAAGAACAAGTATATTTAACACCAACTTTATCTATGTCTTCACTAAAAATGTTTGTTAACAGCAAAATGTTGTTTTGTCAAGGGAAAAAAAGGAACTGGTCAACCAGTCTTGACTGCAAATATCTCCATCTTCAATATCTAAATTACTATATTATTAACACACACTAATTACATTTATGTAGAAACTATTATAACGTATGAAAAGAAATGAAAAATTTCTAAATTAAACACATTTTCCAACTAGGAAGCTCCGAATTAATCTAGATTTATGAACATGCTAATGCAGAATAGGATTTGTTTTATAAGAAGCAATAATAGAATTTTTTTTTGGGGGGGGGAGAGTTTAATAGAGTTATCAAAAGTAAGATTCAAGTTACAAGACTAGTATTAATTTAAAACCTTTTTTTTTAACTGTGATATGAATTTTTTTCTTTTAAAGATTTTAAAAACTACTTTTTAATTATTCTGGTACATTAAATATTTTTATGTCCATTTGTATCACTGTTCTATGGTGATCTTTTGAATATAACTTCAATAGTTTTTTAATTTGAGGTTAAATTAAATAATAATAATATTATTTTACAGAAGTATTTAGAATATTATGTATGTACAAACACACACATCTATAAATGTATCTATGCACACATATATGTATATATGAGGGTAATTCGGAAACTAACTTCGATTTCACTGTAAATAAAAAACCCACACAGATTCAACAATTTTTTTTATTTACATCTAAAAGGTACAGCTCAACTTTATTTTTCAACAAAGTCACAATGTTTATTCAAGCGCTTGGTCATGTTTTACCAACTTCCCAATTCATTCTGCATAAAATTCAGCTGCCTGTGACTTCAATTGACTTATCATACAATTTGAAGTTTCTCATCGTTAGCAAAGTGCTGTACCCCAAGCCATTTCTTTATTGCAGGGAACAAATGGTAATCAGAAAGAGCCAAGCTCAGGCTGCAGGGAGGATGTTGAAACACATCCCATTTGAATTGGAGCAAAAGATCTTGCGTTCGCTGAGCACTGTGAGGACTAGTGTTGCCATACAGGAACAGAACCCTCAATGTGAGCAGGCTGCAGTGTTTATTCTGGATGGCTGTTTTCAGATTTCCCAAAATGTTACAGTACACTTCAGAATTGATTGCTGTATCATGTTCTATGAATTCAACAAGCAAGATTCCATTAGCATCCCAAAACAATGTGATTATAACCTTCCTCCTTGACAAAGTTCGATGGCCTTCCCTTAGCTGGATTGCAGAACTGGTAAGACCCATGCCATTGACTGTTGTTTCATCTCAGCATTTACATGCATTACTTAAGTCTCATCACCAGTGAATATTCTGTTCAAAAACTTCTCCCCTTCCATGTGGTAATGGGAAAGAAAGTCTACAGGATTGATTTTTGTGTACCGTCATGAGAATTTTCAGTACCCATAGTACAGCAATTTCTGCGGACAAATCTTTCAGTTACTACTTAGTACAAAATAGTCTGAGAAATAATGGAAATTGTTGTGAAAGTTCCAAGATTGTGAATCAATGGATCAATTTGTTTGATGAGATCATCACTTACTACAGATGGCCTCCCACTCCTTGATTCATCATGAGCATTTGTTTTTCCTTCTTTGAAAAATCTCACCCACTGACACACTACACCTTCACTCATAATGTTTGGGCTGTATATGACACACAATTCATGATGAATGTCTGCTGCTGACAGGTTTTTTTGCCCAAAGAAGTCATATTATTCTTCTCACCTAAGACTTAGATTTTCAATAGAAGCATACAATTTGTGATATCATAACCAGCACATGTGCAGCAGTAGAACACTCTCACTAGGATAACAGGAAGCTCACTGAATCGCAGACTGCTTGACATAACAATGGTTGCACTCTGCCCACTACTACAACGCAATGCCACAACAGAGGTTAGTTTCTGAATTGCCCTCTTGTAAATATATATATATATATATATATATATATATATATTATATATATATATATAATAACTTTATTTCAAAACATAAATGCACTTTTACAACTGCTGTAGCTCTAAGCAAAGTTATTTAAGTATGTAATTTACAGGAGACTTTTAAAAATGCATCCTCTTATGGTTAAGCCTTCTAAAACAAACAGTTGATCTTTTAACAAACCCATTTACGAAATTACGACTTATTACATAAAAACTAAAAATGTAATATAATACCTTTTTCTTTAAGTTTGGGCCGTACGTAAGGTTTCGCTCCATCGACAGAAACTCGAGCAAATGCAAGTGCTACATCTAGCCATGCAATGGTATGACTCAAAAGCTTCATGACATGGGTATATGACACTAAGTTAAAAAAAAAAAAAAAAAAAAAAAAAAAAAGTAAAATTTTAGATAGGACTCTATATAAAGCCCCGTACATAATTCACAAATAACAAAGAATTTAATCATTAACATTAAACAGATTAAATAATAAAAATGTGATTATAGGAAAATGTATGACAAAATTTAAGAATTAATGATAATACTGCACACACAAAATAATAAAAACTTAGTTATACAAATATGTGTAATAAAATTTCAGAAGTAATGATTAATATTGCACAAAAACTTTATCGATGTGTGTATTGAAAAGTCAAAAATATATCCACTGTATCAGGTTGTCAAAAGCATATACAAGATGCAATATTTAGTAATTTTCTAAATAATTTCAGCTGATATATGAATTATATGCATTATAAAATAATAAAATGGAAGACAAATTGGGTTGAAACAATTACTTTATTTCACAACATAAACTGGACACTAATAATCACATTTAATTCATAAAAAATATTTGGCACACCTCAATTTCAAGATTGAAGGGATTTCTGTTAAACTTATGCGCTTTCTTTTAAGTGCCTACATTACCGATACATAATTTTTTATGAAATCTAATTCTGATGTGAATAAAAACATAGCATGATTATGTTGAAGATAATAATAATGAGATACAAAATTGGCAACATGTGTCCAACATTTACAGTATTATAGATTTGAAAGTTAAACATAGCTTTCTTCTTCAGCTGCAAGAGCGAAAATACATGTTATATGCTCAGAATACATGTTTTTAAGGTGCTGCAGAACTTTTCACCCCTAGCTCTAAATAATAATTTACACTGATGGAATTTTAGGATTTTATGAAAACTTAAATGAGCTAATCTGATCTAAACTTAAAGGTTACATAGGATATTCCATTTGGAAGTACTGCATTTACAAAATTCATAAGAAAGTTTTCACATTATATTTCACTTTAAGGACAGCTAATGCTAACCGGTTGTCAGCAAATTTAAAGGTAATTAATCGAAGTCTATAGGCACATGTACAAATTTCATGAAATATAAAATAGCATATTCATAAGGAAAATTACATATCATTCTTTCATTACCTGGCTATCAAATTGTTTTAACTTAAATGATTCTTGAAATGTAAATTAAATGAAATATAGTAGTTAAAAGATATAAAATTAACAATGAATGTGATTTTTCTGGCAGATGGATGGAATAATCCTCCAGATGAATATTTTCTTCAAGAACTTTGTGCAAGATAACATCCATGCTATAGAAAATCAAGAAGGATTTTGCACCAATATGACAGTTTTAACTTCTCGACTTTCCTAAATGAAATGGAAAGTTTTCCTAACCAAAAATAATGAACTAATTATCACATTAAATATAAATAATTAAATAACTTTACATAACATTACAAAATACATTACAATAAGTAAAAGAAATTGAATTTGAACCTATTTGTGTAACTGATTTCACACAGCATTTTTTAAATATTCTCATTGAAACTACAATCTGCTTGACATGAGCCTGATTACCAATTAGGAATTTTCTGCGTTATGAAAGGATCATGCGAAGAAATACATTAATTTTTAGTTACAAATAAAGTGAGCAATCCTTCTTAAGTATTAATTTAAAAAAAATTCAAGTGCATTTATTTTTGTGTAGGAATATATTAAAATAAAAATTTATTTTTATATTGGACACCCTACTTGCAAAAGAGATATTTTTTGGGAAATAAATATTAAAAAAAATAATAATAATATAGTAAAAGGCTAATAGAATACTAACCTGCTACATCAATGATTTGATCCACCAAGCTCTTTTGTAGATTCTCATATGATGTTTTTAAAGACAAGTACTTTGAATTTAAATTGCTTAGAGAAGCACTCTGGAAACGAACACCAGACGTTTTTGTATCAATAACAGTGTACCCTTTTTTATTTCTCAGATTCTTTTCTTCCTGCATAAATAAATAATATTACATAGAATTGTTATTTTCTAGGTTATTGTAACATAAAAGAAAAACAATAACAATACCATGAAATCTCAAATATACCTTTCTTGTCACTCTGAAAATGTAGCCAATATTTTTGGCATATTCTAACTTCACAGATTGGAGATCTAAGTCTTGTTTCACCTAAAATAAAGAAGGGGAAAACAAATATATAAGAAATGTTATTACAAATGACTTCACAGCTGCCAATTTTGACAAATGAACTCTAGGAGGTTTTAATACTATTCACTAATGCAACTTCAAAGAACTCCAAACTGGCAAATTTAATTTTAAGTCAAATGCATAATTTGGATTATTACACCAGTTATAACATGATTGTAATACAGTCAAAAGTCGTTAATCCGGACTCGTCGGGGACGTCGGCGATTCCGGATTAAAGATCATCAGATTAAATCTGGTATGTCATGCAGAAATTATAAAATTAAAAATATGAAACCGTAATTTATGAAATAAAGAACAATTATGATCTAAAGGGTATCAAAATTTACAAAAAAAAAAGCTTAATATTTACTTGTTTACTTTATTAAACATTTCTTTCAATGTAAGTTGTTTAAGTTGCTTCGTTTTATGTGATAATACTTTCTCTTTAATTCCATAAACAGACATAATTTCGTGTTCAGTTACAAAGTTCCGTTGTTGAAGTCCTATAATTGCTGTGTCGAGAATACCGACGAATTTGTCAATCGAAATTTTTTCGTTTTCAATAACCTCTATGTCACTTTCTTCACTAATGAAAGCGAATTATAATGGCGAGGAATTTGATTTAAATCATATCAAAGACGGAGTACATCGAGATGAAATACTACATTTAGGAAGGAATTATACGCCAAATAAAATAAAAACATCTGCCCTGAAGATAAGGATAGTGCTGACAGATCAACTTCTAATTCATTGTGTGCCGCCGCATTTCCTCCCCCCCCCCGGCCGCAGAGCAGCGTGAAATTGATAAACAGATTTCAGAATGGTTAGAGAAACAAAAAATATACATCTCCATTTTTTGCAGCAATTCCACTTTTTGTTTAAAGGGACTTCGAAACATACTTTCGCTTTGTAGATCCTTTACATATTAGTAAATATATATCGGAAATTCTATTTGACATAATCGAAAGTTCAAGCTTACTTTTATAAAATTGCTCTAACAGTCTGCACAAAAACAATAAGCTAGATCCAATTCGAAGATTAAGGAACAACGCAATCTGCAATATTAACTGAATTAGATAATTTTAGCTTAGCTTATACTGTCCGTTATACATTAAACACACATGCTTAAATGTATTATGCGCATGCGCATATTCGCAGCCGTAAAGGTCTTACGCGCATGCGTCAACGCGAGGCATGCGCAGAAAGTTTGTAGCTTTGAGGTCCGGATTATGGGTGTCCGAATTAATGACTTTTGACTGTATAAATCTTTTAAATAAAATTTAGGATAACGAATTAAGTTATGTTTTTAATTTAATTTTATATTTCTTGAAAATGTTAGACTCGTAAAGTTCAAGAATGAAATATATATGTATATGAAATGTAGAATCTCGTACATTATTTGTGTTGCGCAGCCAAGGCAACCGGAATGAGACAAATTTTGGAATGTGAAGTGATACATTTATTTTAGCATCCATCTCAGAAGCGTTTTTCCTGTACCTCGAGGAGAAGCCCTATTTATAGATATGTGTGCATCATGTTGCTTATCTAATCAGCGATATTAACTGAAATCACGAGGCGACGCTATCTACTCATCAAGAGTGTTCTTAAGGACTTTATGTAATATGACAGATTTAAGAGTTTGGCGATTTGGTGGGCGCCAACAGGTTAATATAATTTATAATAAAGAAAGGATTTCGTCAAAATTTAGGAACAGGGATGCATTTTAAGTAGAGAATCGCCGACACATTATTAAGGAATATGATTAGAATTTAATTTAATCAATTGATTTTAAAATATCATTACAGATTAATATATATTATTTATTGACATGGTATGCAATAAAAATAAAATTTATAATCAATGTATATATATTTTTCTGGATTTACACATAAATATTTCCTCATCAAATATTATTTCTTCAAAAAATGCTTTGCAGATCTCTAATATTGGTGCCTCAGCATTTTCAGTTGGCAGGCTCTAGGACATTAATTTGCAAAATAACAAATAAATTAGTATTTAGTGGCAAAAAATAATAATAAATAACATTTAAAAGATTTCCATAAATTAAGGTACTGAAACAAAATGTAAATTTTTAGGATGTTAATAGTATGATGTGGACACTGGAAATTTTCTCAGCAATATATGACGAACTAGTTAGCAATTATTCAACTGTATAGAATGTGACAGCAATCTGAAAGGTGATAAAATTTGAAAAGAACTGATATATATATGTTAAATAGTAGTTACTTGTTTTGTATCATCGTGCCAAGTGTTGTGACACTGCAAAGACATATTGATGATTTTTGTGGCTATGATGGGGGAAAAGTATTGTTTCATTAATTAATAGGAGGTCAGCAAAAGATCTGCAGTCAAATATATGAATCAGACCATATCTACATACTTGTATTAGACTGGCTTTTATAAACCATACCTATGTTACAGTATGTTACACAGAATCCAAAAAAGCAAGTTATTATTAATCATATCTTGATGTTATAAAACTCTAATTGTTTTGACATACAGTAGGACAATGATATGTTCTTAGACAAAAAGCTGTTATTAATCCTACAATTCTGAGCAGAGGTAGATTAGGCATAAACTCCCAGCTAGCACCCTTTGCTGAAGGCATCACTGTAATTGAACTACAGAGATGAAAAGATGATGTGGGTTGAGGTAATTATTTAACAGATATACACTTGGTGTTGAAAACAAGATTGTCCAGTATTATAGCTAGGATGTGATGTGAGAAATTTCACTGCTGCTGAAAATTTATCTATCTGGATGATAATACTCATTATAATATTACCGTCTTCCTGTGGTAATGACAAGCTACAAAGGGTAACGAAACATGAGTGCAAGTGCCTACATATTCCTCTAATTTAAATATTTTGTACATAAAAGAATTCTTGGCAAATGTACAGCAAAATTTTCATCAAATACTAAAAAGAAAATGATTAGGTTGGTGAAAAAAGAAGTAAAGAGGTCATCAAAAGAATCCTTTCAATAATCCAGTCAAAGGGTCATGGTTTTAATTCTAAGTTATGCTTTGCAGTCGAGCACAAACATGCATCATATTAAAATTTTCCATGGGATTTAATTCTCCACTTTTTTTAACAACTAATATGATATCTAATTTCCTCTTACAGGCAAAAGTGCACCATTTTAAAAAATTTGTGCTACTTTTAGTAGCACAAATATTACAGTATAAAGTCTTTAATTCGGACGTCCATAATCCAGAATGATCTATAATCCGGACCTCAAAGCTACAAACATTTTACGCATGCGTTAACGCATGTGCATAATACGTTTACGCATGCGTGTTTAATGTATAGCGGATGGTATAAGCTAAGCTAAAATTATCTAATTATCTATTTCAGTTAATGTTGCAGATTGCGTTGTTCCTTAATCTTCTAATTGGATCTGGCTTATTATTTTTTGCAGAATGTTAGAGCAATTTTATAAAAGTAAGCTTGAACTTTCGATTATGTCAAAAAGAATTTCTGATTCTGGAGCTACCAAAGGATCTACAAAGCGAGAATATGTTTCGATGTCCATTTAAAAAAAAGTGGAATTGCTGCAAAAAAATGGATAAAGGCATGAAGAAAGTGACAGAGAGGTGATTTGTTTCTCTATCCATTCCGAAATCTGTTTATCAATTTCACGCTGCTCTGCGGGGGGGGGGGGGGGGGCGTTACGGTGCGCAATGAACTGGAAGTTGATCTGTCAGCGCTATCCTTATCTTCAGGGCAGATATTTTTATTTCATTCGGCTTATGATTCCTTATTGAATGTAGTATTTCATCTTGATGTACTCCAACTTTACATCAACTTCCTCGTCATTATAAATATCATGAATACACATCAAATAGTTTTCTGGTTGCAATTTTCTAATTTTGACTATGCGTAATGTATGCTTTATGCATGCGCTCATTGAAGGAAATGTTTAATAAAGTAAACAAATAAATATTAAGCTTTTTTTTTTTTTTTTGTAAATTTTGATACCCTTTAGATCATAATTGCTCTTTATTTCATAAATTACGGTTTCATATTTTTAATTGTATAATTTCTGCAAAGACTTTGTACTGTATATAAATTTACGATATAAATTTGTGCTACTTTTAGTATTATCCTCGAAGAAAAGCGTGGACGAAAGCTACCACAACTCTTATTTCATAGATAACACTGCAGCAAACACATAACTGAGAACATAAAAGAACTTACATCATCGTGAGTTTCATTTATGGAATCTTGTAAAGCAGAAATCTGATCTCTCAGTTCTGTGAAAATAAAATACATATGTAACACATGAGGCATTTAGCAATTACATAATTATAAAAAAGAGAGAGAGCTAAATGATTTATGAAAAATTTTAAATTATATTTGTGTATCTAAAATAAAAGCTATTCTACACAGACTGCAGTATACATATTCACTGAATATTAAAAATTCTAAACATTACAAGCAATGCATTATAGAGTGTGATTTGTTACCACGTGTGCTAACTTCTGGGAGGGGTAGGTTACTCCAAGATAAATTGGAATCAAATAGTAATGTAGGTTTGGAAATGCAGTTGTAATGCAGCAGAATTGCTGAGGAAATGGTAAATCATTCAGCACAAAGGAAACTATCATTCGACACCCATTTTTGGAGGCAGTACAATGGAAGGTGTCACATATGCAGTTAGCAGATATACAAGGAACTGCTCATTCTAATGAGATATTTTGCAGCTTTCAGGACTACAATCCAATAAGGCATATTTCATACTACTAGACATTTTCTGGCTTCCGTCTTATTCACAGAAGAATTATTATTACAATGCACTTACTCACACATGGGCAATGGAGAAGCCCATATGTGATTAGGTATCATGTGGGGACTGTTTAATAGTCTCATGTCTCTTGTTTGTTCACTTCAGCAGATGGTGTTAGCTGTTGTAACAATCTGAGAAAAGACCACATTATTTCAAAATATCTATAATTTCATGTCACTAATATTAAGTTTTGTGTTGCAAGTGATGGCCAAAATTTCAAACACTTACTGTCAATTCTCTTAATATCGCAATTTTTACATTTGATGAATAAAATAATTTTCTTTGCTTATGTGTTGCTCTTTTATTTCTCTTATTCTCTGCTCACTTTTTACATTTGAATGAATAAAATAATTTTCTTTATTTATGTGTTGCTCTTTAATTTATCCTACTCTCTGCACTCTTACAACAATGGGCTTTCAACCCTGCACTGCTAACTCATCCCAAATCCATCTTTGAGCAACCTACTCTTCCCCAGAAGTTTTTATAAGTGGTAATGAATTACTTTGAAAATATTATTGTTAACACAGTAAAGTAAAAACAAGATCATTAAATAATTCTTACAATTTACTCTGCTGATAATAATACTTCTTGAAAACAAATATCAATATTTTTTAATCTGTAAACTAATCTGGAATGCTAGTTTTTTTTTTTTTTTTTTTTAAACACAGCTTAAAAGAAGTAATATATTGACAATTACAAAACAATCAAATACATTAAAAAGATTTTGAAAGTGCAAAAATTACTTTAAACTAATCTTTTATGGTTAAAAAAAAACTGAATGAATCTGAGTATTATGATATTTAATAAAGACATATTTTCAGGATTATACATGAAAGTTTGCTACAGATCAAAATCATCAGCAGTTCAGACACAGCTTACTGGTCTTAAATTTGCATAACATGCAACCATGGGAGAAAAGACAAATGATTAACATTATGTTAGGGATTTGAATATGGCAGAGCACATGAGCGCTATCTGTCTAAACGAAGGGATGTCTTCACGGCGGTCTTCTATGAAAAACTTGCTCATACTCACATTATAACATGGGGAAAATCACGAAAACCAAAAAAGCAGCCAAGCGTGTTTGCCTGGATTCAAACTCAGATTGAACTACCAATCTAGTAGGTACCAAGTGGGTAACTTGCAGAATGTCACACACACACACACAACAAAAAAAAGTCAGAAAGTACTATTCCTTACACTGATATTCTTAATATCTTGATGGAATTCATCAAAAAACACAAAAGAGCAATACACATTCTTCCTACAACAAGTTGATGACAGGAGCCAACTGCAAGATCCCACATGAACCAATGTCAAGAGCAAAGATAAACAAACATTTCGAGCTATCATTTCTTTTATTAAGGACTGGATTATTGGAAAAGTCATGACTAATTTTTTCTACAGTTTATTTTACACAAAAAGGAAAGATCAAGCAATGACATATTGCCTATTTTTTCAATAAATTTTTCTCTTTCCCATCCAAGCTCACTTAGCATCCAATTTTGGATGGGTGATACAATCTATGAATAATCTCATCCAAACACAGCTCCTTAATGATTAACTAACTTTGAATGGATTTATTCAAACTGTCAAAGAGTTGAAAACACACATTTGGTTTCTTCGCTTGACTTTGAAAACCATGATACTTTTATAATATTTTTATGTATCCCTGCTTCTTCAAGAGGTTTTTTAACATTTAAATGATAGAAGTCCAATGTTTCTGCAATCTCTTGAGTCATGTAACATGGGTTTAATTTAATAAGTATCTTTATTTTTTCATTATCAACCTCAGTTGTTCTCCCTGAATGAGCAGTGTCCGTGAGATCAAAACCATCAGCATGGAACTTTGTGAACAATCATTTGTGCCAATATTTTTGTAGAGCATTGTCACGATAAACTTTTCATAAGCTTGACACATACTCTTTTGTTTTACAAAAATAAAACTATAAAATATGAAGTCTGGTGTCCATCTGCAACTCGTAAAAACTTTTAAAATCTATCAAATTACTGACTTCTTTTTAAGTTGTCAGCAGGCAATATAGTCAAAAGGCTTTAGAAAGGTGACAAACTATTGGATGTTATTTAGAAATGTTTTTCTGTTTAATTCATTCCAGCATTGAATTTAATACTCTGAATATCAGAAATGTCTTCAGGAATAGTATTTTTTTTTAGAGGGGAATACTTTTTCTGGGCAGGATTCAAATAAAAAGTAATAAACATATTTATGTAAACCTGTATTATGTTAAATTAGGAAGTAATATGAAAAAGCTATGTTCATAAAATGCAGTTCCTGCTTATGTTCCATTAATTTTTAAAACATATTAAAAATACTTTGATTGCTTCTCGTAATATATGACAACCAAAATTTAAGTTTAAAAAATATAGCAAAATTTTATTGTTTACCTAAGAGTTTATCATCATATTCAGCTTTCACGACAAATTCTTTATTTTTCAAAGCTTCAAAATCCAAAACAGACTCTATCATACTTTTAAAATTTTCAAAATCTGAAATCCTTTCCTGGAAGGAGGGAGGGGGGGAAATGTAGAAAAATAATATTACTTGACATGTACAGAATACTATGCAGAAAACACAACAAAATTTATAATCAGCTACATATTTATAATACAAGCTTCAAATATTTTAAAACTGCTAGTTAACAAAGTGAGAAAGTTAATTACCGTTATTTTATGAACTGGAGTTTAAATAAATTTTACACAATCCTTTAGGAAAATTCAAAGTTTAGCATATTATACTTAAAATCAAAGAATTATGCATGTTTTCATTATAGTATGAGAGGGCTATACTAAGCATGATTTAACATGAAATAAAGACAAATTTATCGAAAGTATATATTCATAATACAAGAGCGCAGTAAGTATGCAGGAATGAAATATATTACCTTTGATTAGCAAACAAATAATCAAACAAAAAAAGCAAAGAGCTTTATATAGTATATGTTCAGTTTTGATTGCAATGCATCAGAAAACAGATAGCCAAAATATATCAAGAAAATTAACAGACAAGCTTCTTCAGTTATTTCTGGAAACGTAAAGTTGCTACTGACGCTAGAATTAAATAAAAGTAAATTCAATGAAACACTGTCCTACTATCTGATCATTCTATGAATCAGTTCTCAAAGATTTGGTTAAAGTCGCCATTACCTCAGGCCCATTCATCTGAAAATTGTTAAGAATGGCCACCACAAATATGTGTAGGTGTGTATGCTATACTGATCTGCAATCATGATACAAACACAGAAATGCAATAGACTGATTACAGATCTAGAAAATTATCACTATGAATTACTAAGCATAAAAAAGATATTCACAATCTCTCTGCCAACTAACACATCAATGAAAATAATACATCTTTGATTAAATAGCTTTTGCAGCATCAAAATTTAATAGTGGAATAGGACAAAGTCAAAAACATTAATATATCCTCGCATAAATACAGCCTTAAAATCAGAAAAAGGTTACAACAAAAACCTTCCTTTCAACCAATCATACATCTAGAAGCCAGTTCTGAAAAGTACAGTAATCCTGTAGAAAACAATAAAAGTGGGGAAACTTGTGTGAATTGTTCCAGGTCCAGCTGTTGAGTTACATGGTTGTCAGTGAAAGCTTCTATTTTACTAATACTCTTTAAACATGGTTTCAGCATGTAAACCTAACACATTTAATTTTAACTTCATTCTAACCATGTATACATTTTATAATTTCTTCAAAATGAAGAAGATCTGTTTCTTCAAAATGGAGAATTTAACTTTTTGAATGAGTTATAGATAACCGACTAATATTTTTCAGCATGAGCAAGAGGAAATTGGTGCAAACTAAACTTGAGTTCTTAACTGCCAATTTGGAAAAAGCGGAATTGCCTGCAGATGAGTCAACTGATAAGGACTCTTCAGTAACTGAATCCGAAAGAGGAGTGATAGTGTACAAACTATTTTTCAGAATAGGAACCTAAACCTTCATATGCTATCATGTCTAGCATAATTAACCCTGGGTTTGAATACCAGAGCAGAAATAAATGCTTGTAAATTCATACTGGGTTTATGGCATGGAAGTACTTAAAATGCTGTTAACAGGGTTCGTAGCCACATTTTAGTAAAAAAAATAAGCACCTATAAGCACTTTTCAAGCACATTTTAGGAAAAAAAAATAAGTACCTGTCTAATTACATTATACACAACTGCATGATCTTAAAAAAAAAAAAAAAAAAAAAATAAGACTTATAAATTTAAAATATGAGAAATTCAGAATTAATTAAGAAAGAACGAGCATTACTCAACCATGGAAAACAATTACATTCTTTTTTTTTTAATTTTAAATAACAGTTCAATTCACAGAACTAGTTTACAATGAGAGAAAAAAAATATGCAGAACTAAATCATATTACAAGATTTAATGATAAAATTTCTGTTCAAAATAGAGAAAATAAATAAAAATAAACCCTATTTATTATATTTCCTTGGCACCTAAAATAAATACAATTTATTTTTCCAACTCTTATTAATATTTAAATAACTTAAATCAAAATTCTGAACATTTTCTAAATTTTCATTGTATAACAGTTTTCCTTTAACAGATATTGCAGGCAAAGTAATTTAAGTAAAAATAAGTAAAAAAAAAGGAGCTTTTCTGAAATCAGAAGATGGGAAATTTCTTCATGCAGTCATCCTTTAACAGTAACAGCTTAACTAACCGGCATACTCGGAAATTTCCGAATATCTGAAAATTCCGGATAGTCGAGCATAACTGGTAAAAGTGGAAAGGGGGGGGAGGCTGTAGCCATTCTTTAGATTTTTCAGCTAAATAATACTCTTGACATTTCGATATGTGCATCATATAAAAAAAAAGTCCAATGGAACTGAAAATGAATCTGCTTAGCAAGCAGAGTGAAACTCTTATCTCTGTGAAATATCGCAAACCTTATTGTGCAATACGTGCGTCTTAATTCTTCCGCACATGATATTTTGCAATCGGAATCAACAGCTACCGGTATTCGGAGAATAAATAATTAAATAAAGGAAAACGCCCCTTTGCTTAGTCCGGTTTTCACTGTCATGCACACATGCATGTTTATCATTGAGCAGGACATGTTGTGCTTCACGCGATATCCCTGCCGTACTCATATTGATTAATAGAGATTTACCAATCTGGGGTGCTTGTCATTCTAATTTTGAACAGACTGCGTTAAATTTCTTGAATAGAATTTTTCTTCGCTTGGGTTGGTAGACTACAGAACTTTGTTGTATTCAATCCAGATGGAAGTGACCCCCTCCAAAAAAAAAACATTGCTTGCTTTGCTGCGGACTGTAACGGTTTCAATATTCGAGATTTTTTGGAGAAAGGGGAGAACCACCAACTTCCGTACTGTATAATGCATTGGCCATTCCAAAAAAATTATTTTGACTATTCGATTCCTTTCACTTCATTTATGCCATTCTGAATATTATTCCTTTGAAAACTAATTTGTGTTAAAACACACCCATTTTTGAAGTTTATCTATACTTCAGTAGTTACTGCAAATATATTATTATAAATATTCACACATATGTTCATAATATAAGCATACCGATTATAATAAATGCGAATATGAACTCACGCGGAAAGAGAATGTAAATTATTAAAATCTTGATAGGAATTCAAACGTGTGTAGTATTGGGTGGGAGCAAAAGAAAAGAATATGGAATGTACCGGAATTTTCTATCGTTTTCGCAATTCTTTGACCAATAGAACGACATGCACATTATGTTAATGCAGAGAAAGGGGCGGAAAGCTATTTCTGGGATTACGATTCACCATCTGACGTTCCATTACAAGTAAGAAAAGTTGTTTACTTAGTTTCGGCTTTGGTACGGAAAAAAATTGTGCGCCCGGGGGGAAAAAAAAACACTAAAAACAAAAAGTAAGTGCTTTAGAGAAAAAAAATAAGCACCTATAAAAGCTTTTACATTTTATTTTCAAATATAAGGACTTATAAGCACTTGTAAGGACTGCTACAAACCCTGGTTAATCAAAAGGCTCAGGAGGTTAGAACAGTTTTAATCCATTTCATAGAGGAATCGATTCCTCCAAGGAAATTGAACTGGATGAAGTTACACAAACTCGGAATGTCACTCATGATTTAGGGTGGAAGTAAAAAAATATTCAATCAAATACAGAAACAATTTTATTTTTACATTTAGGGAACAAATATATATGAAGCATCAAACTACTTTTGTATCGAGAATCTTTTCACTTCTTTGTCTTACATTTGCCACTCTGAGGTAATTAAATATTTCAAAACAAGCCTATTATGCTTACATTTCTACTTTTCACTTGAGAAGTCCAAGGACTTTGCCAACAATAGGCACCGCCCTTTCACAAACTCGAATGAGACTATGTTCAGATCACAAAGATGAGTTAAAAAATATAACTTCACATTTGACTTCCCATTTTGACTTCACATTTGACTAACATAATATTTAAATTTATTCACTCATACAGCACAATAAAAAACAACAAAAGCGCAATTTTTTTTTTTTTTTGGTTAGAATATGATTAGAAAATTCAATATGAACTTGGAATTAAAATAACCCCAAAAATTCTTTTAACGAAAACACAGTATCTGAAGACAAACATGTGCCTCAAGGTAGATTTGCATGTTCTTTATTTCTTCAATTATAAGATGCAATTCCTTATAAACATACCTAAGAATGGGGAGCATCTTAGCATAATGGATATTTCTGTATTGCTAATTAAAGTAAGTAATTTTTCCAACACACTAATATAAATGGATATGCCATTACAGGGTTCGTACACATTTCTGCACATGGAAATTAAGTATTTTTAAGGACCATTAATGAAAAAAATTAATGACCTATGAGCAAATGGGAACTGAATAAATTCAATTAAAAATTATTACCTATGCCTGTAATACCATCATAAAAATAGATCCCTAAGTAGTATGCATTATTACTAAACATGAATTAATTAACATAATTATTAATAAGCTTGAGAATAAAATAAACTTTATTAAATTAGGCAATTAGATAACATTAGTCATTATGGATTTACATGGCTATTTACTATTAAACTACTATGGATTTACTATGAAATTTTATTTTTTAACATTATTTGTTAAAAAATCTTTATTAAAATCAAAATCTAATACATTTTCACAGTTTAAAATACATGTAATTTATGACATTGATTCTTAAACAATATCAGGACACATTAAAAGCTATAAAACATTTACAGTGGATGGACAAAAATATGGAAACAACTTGTGAAATGCATGTTTGAAAAGAAAGATTGATTTTAATGAAATATGTAGGTCGCGCTGGCATTTTTGACTACTGACGCCACCTGTACAACTTCGTAAATGTGCTAAACAGTTCAGTTGTTGTCGGAGTACTGTTATGTGAGGTTGTCATTGCATTATGTCAGAGTTAACAGACTTCAAACGTGGGCAAATTGTTGGAGCACGTATGGTAGGTGCTTCTGTAAGCATGGTAGCCGAGGTGTTTA